GGCATTCAGATGTAGCTGAAGAAAAAATACTGATCTATTCTCCTGTAAAACGCAGTGAAGCAGAAAAATTATTTGCATAAATGTAAAAATAGCGTTATTTATATAGCTAACGTTAGATACAGATCATTACTATTTTAACTTATTTTAACCATAGCCTTTGGGATCGGTAGCTTGAACTAATAGTCGCCTCAGGACAACAACACATCCATCTTAACACTTATCATCTGGGAAATTCACTTAATATTACATACCGTCAGCTCTTAGAACATGCCATCACAGAACGTCTCCTGGTAGTTTCGCAATAAAAATGGTGCTTTAAAATAGCGCTCAGCGGACGTTTTAGAGGACAACTAAAAAACCCCTCGTGATTGTCCCGCGGAGCGTTTTCATTCCCAATGTGTACTGTTATTTACACTGGTTTGACTGCTGCTAGGCATCTTGCATCTAACAATCCGTTAAAGTGTTTTTTCGGCTATGTCGTATTTTGGCTGATATGCCAAGGCTGCACCTAAGGGCTATGAAAAGACACGAACGTCACACATCGAGACAATAGCGTGTGGCGTAGCCAAACCAGGCCACCACACATCAATGAACGGAAAAAGATGCATCCTAACGGTAACCGTTAGCCGCTCCGCTGTTTTAGCGGACCAAACAATGACGTTAAGCTATGTTAACCACAACAAGGCTAGTCTGTTATTGACGTCTTACAGAAAGCTATATCTTTTAAACTCCAATTTATTCTTCATCATTTATTGACTTATCTACTTGCCTTTCCATGGACTCAAGCGTTGTGTCATGACGAACAACAGTAAATGACCAAAATAAATCATTAGGTATTTATGCGGCGGCTCATCCCTGCTCCTTCCAGACAACTTTGCCGATCGGGCAAACACCAGATTTCGTTTCCGCTTTCGCAATAAAAGCCCTTCAAGCATCACTAACAGGCGATGCCCAGTGTTGAACAGCAGAGAGCTACATGCAAATAAACTACAATTAACCGTCTATAGCATGGTGTTGCCCTCCGGTCACACCACTATGTTGGCCCAAACACAATCCCTTTAAATTGTTTTTTAAGTAAAACATCACATTAAAAGTCTGATGATAAGTCTGTGACCAATGAAATTTGAGGTGAGCGTGGCTTTGACATGAAGCTTTGAACCCTTTTGGACCATTATATCGAAAATTAGTTCACTACTCAAAGCTTCATTCATTGAGCACGTGGTTGACATCTGCTGGCACAGTGATTGTTGTACAGCCTTACAAAGGTGACTGACTTGTGAAATGTGAGCTTTGTTGTATTGTGAAAATTACTTAAATAAAGCTGAAATCTAACTGAATTTTACGTGTCTATTGTTTTTCATCCTTGCCTTATAAAGTATCTTAAATGAAATGGTGACTACCAAAGTAATCCTTCCCCAAGAATTCCTAATATGAAATGGACTTATAATTATTCATTTTTATAACTGATAGATTACAGGGGACCCCCAAGCTCCCACAAACTAGGGTGAAATATTTTTTACTCCTAAAATAAAAATTAATGTCATAGAGGATTAAACCACCATTTGTACAATCCTTCATTGCAACCTGTCATCTGTTTTTCTCTTTTGTCCACATCCAGGGAGATTAGCTACAGTGCCATGAGCTGTAAATGTCTTGATAATGTTGTGCACAGTGGACACAGGAACAGCAAGGTTGTCCGAGCTTTTCCACTACTGTGGTTTGTAGGACCTAAGCGTCCTGCATGTTCATTTCTGAGGAAGAGTCAAAGTCAGAAGAACCTTTAAAATATTTATTACAACCTTGATGAAGAAAACAATATTCAAGACAAGCAATACAGAGCTCTGGGTTCCGTTTCTATCTGAAGCCCTATCACACAGAGAAGTCATGTGTTATATTAAAAACTGCATAGACACTGTTACTGTGGACAAACACATCAGGGTCTACCCCAACCAGAAGCCCTGGATGAACTGGGAGGTCAAGTGGTTACTGAGAGAGAGGAACACTGCCTTCAGGAAAGGCAACAGTGCTAATCCTGAAGAAAGGCATGAGAAAGTTCAAATTGGACTACAGGAGGAGGATGGCGTCCCCGGACATGTGCTGAAGGACTGCACGGACCAGCTGGCTGGAGTCTTCACCAGGATCTTCAACCAGTTGCTGGCCCAGTCCAGTGTCCCACCCTGCCTGAAGTCCTCCATCCTAGTTTGACTGCCTAAGAAACCCAACATAACCAGCCTCAATGACTACTGGCCGGTTGAGCGTGGCTTTGACATGAAGCTTTGAACCCTTTTGGACCATTATATCGAAAATTAGTTCACTACTCAAAGCTTCATTCATTGAGCACGTGGTTGACATCTGCTGGCACAGTGATTGTTGTACAGCCTTACAAAGGTGACTGACTTGTGAAATGTGAGCTTTGTTGTATTGTGAAAATTACTTAAATAAAGCTGAAATCTAACTGAATTTTACGTGTCTATTGTTTTTCATCCTTGCCTTATAAAGTATCTTAAATGAAATGGTGACTACCAAAGTAATCCTTCCCCAAGAATTCCTAATATGAAATGGACTTATAATTATTCATTTTTATAACTGATAGATTACAGGGGACCCCCAAGCTCCCACAAACTAGGGTGAAATATTTTTTACTCCTAAAATAAAAATTAATGTCATAGAGGATTAAACCACCATTTGTACAATCCTTCATTGCAACCTGTCATCTGTTTTTCTCTTTTGTCCACATCCAGGGAGATTAGCTACAGTGCCATGAGCTGTAAATGTCTTGATAATGTTGTGCACAGTGGACACAGGAACAGCAAGGTTGTCCGAGCTTTTCCACTACTGTGGTTTGTAGGACCTAAGCGTCCTGCATGTTCATTTCTGAGGAAGAGTCAAAGTCAGAAGAACCTTTAAAATATTTATTACAACCTTGATGAAGAAAACAATATTCAAGACAAGCAATACAGAGCTCTGGGTTCCGTTTCTATCTGAAGCCCTATCACACAGAGAAGTCATGTGTTATATTAAAAACTGCATAGACACTGTTACTGTGGACAAACACATCAGGGTCTACCCCAACCAGAAGCCCTGGATGAACTGGGAGGTCAAGTGGTTACTGAGAGAGAGGAACACTGCCTTCAGGAAAGGCAACAGTGCTAATCCTGAAGAAAGGCATGAGAAAGTTCAAATTGGACTACAGGAGGAGGATGGCGTCCCCGGACATGTGCTGAAGGACTGCACGGACCAGCTGGCTGGAGTCTTCACCAGGATCTTCAACCAGTTGCTGGCCCAGTCCAGTGTCCCACCCTGCCTGAAGTCCTCCATCCTAGTTTGACTGCCTAAGAAACCCAACATAACCAGCCTCAATGACTACTGGCCGGTTGCATCCACTCCCGTGGTAATGAAGTGTTTTGAGAAACTGGTATGGGGACACATTATGTCATTCCTCCCACCAATATCTGACCCAAACCAGTTTGCATACAAGGTAAATAGATCCACAGAGGACGCCGTAGCCACAGCGCTCCACACTGTGCTGTCCCACTTGGAGCATCAGGAGAGCTATGCATGGCTGCTCTTTGTGGATTATAGCTCCGCATTCAACACCATCCTCCCCCACAAACTGGTGGACGAGCTGGTTGACCTGGGAATTCCATATTCCACCTGCATATGGATTAAGAGCTTCCTTTCCGGACACAGTCGGAGGGTGAGAGTGGGCCCACACACATCCACAGCCCTCAGCCTCAGCACTGGTTCCCCACAAGGCTGTGTGCTGAGCCCCCTGCTCTATACCCACGACTGCACCCCCACCCACCCACCACAGCAACACCATTGTAAAATTTGCTGATGACACCACGGTGGTGGGGCTCATCTCTGGGGGGGATGAGACTACCTACAGGAATGAGGTGGAGAGGCTAGGAGGAGATCATTGGTGACTTTCACCAGTGGAGTTTCTGTACTATGATGAACTCTAAATCCTGACTGAAAATCCTCAAACAAATCACTGCTGTGCAAGTGGTCACATAACTGCTTTCCAAAAGCTTTTACAGTGATTTTAGAAATAAAGGGGAGATTGGATAGCGGTCTGTAATTAACCAGAACACCTGATTCAAGAGTAAGCTTTTCAGTAGAGGTTTAATTACAGCAACCTTAAAAGCATGTGGAACATAACCTCTCAATAGAGAGAGGTGGGGCTAGCCTCCTCTCTTTTGTTGCCTTCTTTTTCACAAGGGAAAAGTATTAAGTGTCATATGCAGGGAGACCAGATCACTATCAATAATAGTACTGACTTGTGTGGGAGTACTGTTAAGGTGGCCTCCCTCCATTGTGTTGGCACATAGCACTGAAGTAAATAATGATGGAATTATTTCCTTAAACTTGGTAACAACACAGACATCTACTGTAGTGGAATTGTTTCCCCACATAGTGTAAAATCCATTAATGTAAATTCAAAAGTTATTAGAAAATGGTCAGACAGAAGAGGGTTTTGGGGAAAAACTATTAAGTGTTCAGTTTCGATGCCATATGTCAGAACAAGATCAAGGGTGTGATTAAAACAGTGAGTGGGTTTATTTACAATTTGAGAAAAGCCACTTGCATCTAATGAATTAAATGCACTGTTGAGGCCGTCATTGTCAACATCTACATGAATATTATTGACATCTGCTGGCACAGTGATTGTTGTACAGCCTTACAAAGGTGACTGACTTGTGAAATGTGAGCTTTGTTGTATTGTGAAAATTACTTAAATAAAGCTGAAATCTAACTGAATTTTACGTGTCTATTGTTTTTCATCCTTGCCTTATAAAGTATCTTAAATGAAATGGTGACTACCAAAGTAATCCTTCCCCAAGAATTCCTAATATGAAATGGACTTATAATTATTCATTTTTATAACTGATAGATTACAGGGGACCCCCAAGCTCCCACAAACTAGGGTGAAATATTTTTTACTCCTAAAATAAAAATTAATGTCATAGAGGATTAAACCACCATTTGTACAATCCTTCATTGCAACCTGTCATCTGTTTTTCTCTTTTGTCCACATCCAGGGAGATTAGCTACAGTGCCATGAGCTGTAAATGTCTTGATAATGTTGTGCACAGTGGACACAGGAACAGCAAGGTTGTCCGAGCTTTTCCACTACTGTGGTTTGTAGGACCTAAGCGTCCTGCATGTTCATTTCTGAGGAAGAGTCAAAGTCAGAAGAACCTTTAAAATATTTATTACAACCTTGATGAAGAAAACAATATTCAAGACAAGCAATACAGAGCTCTGGGTTCCGTTTCTATCTGAAGCCCTATCACACAGAGAAGTCATGTGTTATATTAAAAACTGCATAGACACTGTTACTGTGGACAAACACATCAGGGTCTACCCCAACCAGAAGCCCTGGATGAACTGGGAGGTCAAGTGGTTACTGAGAGAGAGGAACACTGCCTTCAGGAAAGGCAACAGTGCTAATCCTGAAGAAAGGCATGAGAAAGTTCAAATTGGACTACAGGAGGAGGATGGCGTCCCCGGACATGTGCTGAAGGACTGCACGGACCAGCTGGCTGGAGTCTTCACCAGGATCTTCAACCAGTTGCTGGCCCAGTCCAGTGTCCCACCCTGCCTGAAGTCCTCCATCCTAGTTTGACTGCCTAAGAAACCCAACATAACCAGCCTCAATGACTACTGGCCGGTTGCATCCACTCCCGTGGTAATGAAGTGTTTTGAGAAACTGGTATGGGGACACATTATGTCATTCCTCCCACCAATATCTGACCCAAACCAGTTTGCATACAAGGTAAATAGATCCACAGAGGACGCCGTAGCCACAGCGCTCCACACTGTGCTGTCCCACTTGGAGCATCAGGAGAGCTATGCATGGCTGCTCTTTGTGGATTATAGCTCCGCATTCAACACCATCCTCCCCCACAAACTGGTGGACGAGCTGGTTGACCTGGGAATTCCATATTCCACCTGCATATGGATTAAGAGCTTCCTTTCCGGACACAGTCGGAGGGTGAGAGTGGGCCCACACACATCCACAGCCCTCAGCCTCAGCACTGGTTCCCCACAAGGCTGTGTGCTGAGCCCCCTGCTCTATACCCACGACTGCACCCCCACCCACCCACCACAGCAACACCATTGTAAAATTTGCTGATGACACCACGGTGGTGGGGCTCATCTCTGGGGGGGATGAGACTACCTACAGGAATGAGGTGGAGAGGCTAGGAGGAGATCATTGGTGACTTTCACCAGTGGAGTTTCTGTACTATGATGAACTCTAAATCCTGACTGAAAATCCTCAAACAAATCACTGCTGTGCAAGTGGTCACATAACTGCTTTCCAAAAGCTTTTACAGTGATTTTAGAAATAAAGGGGAGATTGGATAGCGGTCTGTAATTAACCAGAACACCTGATTCAAGAGTAAGCTTTTCAGTAGAGGTTTAATTACAGCAACCTTAAAAGCATGTGGAACATAACCTCTCAATAGAGAGAGGTGGGGCTAGCCTCCTCTCTTTTGTTGCCTTCTTTTTCACAAGGGAAAAGTATTAAGTGTCATATGCAGGGAGACCAGATCACTATCAATAATAGTACTGACTTGTGTGGGAGTACTGTTAAGGTGGCCTCCCTCCATTGTGTTGGCACATAGCACTGAAGTAAATAATGATGGAATTATTTCCTTAAACTTGGTAACAACACAGACATCTACTGTAGTGGAATTGTTTCCCCACATAGTGTAAAATCCATTAATGTAAATTCAAAAGTTATTAGAAAATGGTCAGACAGAAGAGGGTTTTGGGGAAAAACTATTAAGTGTTCAGTTTCGATGCCATATGTCAGAACAAGATCAAGGGTGTGATTAAAACAGTGAGTGGGTTTATTTACAATTTGAGAAAAGCCACTTGCATCTAATGAATTAAATGCACTGTTGAGGCCGTCATTGTCAACATCTACATGAATATTAGTCACTGTGCTAAATATAGCCATTGTTAGAATGTGTTTGACTTTACAGTGGTTGAGCTACTGCAAAAGTGTAATGGTTAAATCAGAAATTAGGAAAACTTTGTGAGAAGCAGAATGGGATGTCCTTTTAGGAAACCTACTTCCTCCAGCAGGAGAAAGGTAGTTTCTTCAGCAACTGCTTAAATGCCAATTATGAACATGCCCCAACAAGCTGGCATTACTGGTAACTTTAATATCCACCTGATACCATATTTATATTTACATCATCTTGTACTCACTGTTTTACTTAGAATGTTATGGTTTTACAGATATCCTACATGCAGATATTAGTTATATTAAAGGATGGACATAACATTTAAAATAACTAATCTCAAGTGCAAGGAGCAGATACCAGTAATCTACATTTCCCCAAGTTATTGGCAAGTGGGTACAGATACATTATTTACAAACAAAGGAAAATGTGATTTTAGGTACAGTAGGGATAACATGTTAATAGGCCACAGCGCTAACCACTGCATAACTGTGCTGCCTGAAATACAACAGTTTCTGATGATTCTGAAAAGGTGTCAATAATTCAGAAATGTAGGGGTGCCAATATGTTTGACCATGACTGTATAGTTGTTTGTCATCCAGGTCGTACTATGCTGAAAAAACTGCCCGACTGGTGGTTAGCAGGAGGTATTTATCTCACTGGGTGGGGTTTCAGTGCTTCGACGGCCAACAATGTCCACTAACGTCTGACTACGTCCTGATGCCTTCTTCTAAGTTTTTTCCAGTATAGTTGTTTTACATAATACAAAATCTAAATTCCTTTAGAAGAAATGTATAATATCACTGTGAAAAGTCCAGATGGGATCATTTTATTTAGGTCAGTTTTTTCTTGTCTCAAATAAATCAATTCAACTAAGTGGCATTTTATGATGTTATAGTTTTGTATCATATGTACATTGTCAGTTTGATCGTTTTTTTACTAAGTATTCTTAACTACTATTTCTAAATAACTTTAGTTGACCAAACTACATTTCTCTCTAGAGTAGTTCTGCTTTAGTTTAACTTCTTTCATTGTGAAGTAACTGACAGTTTGCAAAGCTACATTTTCAAAGTATCTTCCCCAACACTGACAATACCATGACTGTATTACAATCTGTGCATCACAAAGTTTACAGTAGGCAAAAAGAAAAAGGCCAAATTTCAAAAAAAGAAACAAAAATATCTAACACTGCCAAATAAAAACATCAATACATAATTCTTATACACATTTTATTAGTATTATTAAATAAAAGGAGAAAAATATTTTTATGCTGTCATCATAACTGAACGAAAATGCACTTTAACTCTGTAATCGCATCAGGTCATTTCTTCATTTTTTCCACATCCAACCAATCTGACTGCTCTCTGCAGTATGTGCTCTCCTACTGCAGAGGTTGTTTCAGTTCAAACAGTCCTGTTCCACCTTTAACCACCTTCCCCACCACCAGGCAGGCTGAGGGTGACACCAGCTGATCGTGCGACCCTGAAAAACAGAAACACAAAGAAAGGAGTAACAATTAGGTTACAGAACTTGTACCACAAATGTAAATAGGTGCCAGCTTCTCTAATGTTTGAAACAAACTATTTACTATTGCTCTAAATTATTAATCCTATTAAATTCATTCTGTGTGTTGTTTTACAAAAATATACTACTGGAGGAAGTTTACATGTTGTATATACACAACATGCACAAACTACAATTTGGAAACTGGAATTTCTATAATAAAAGAACTCATAAGTAAGAAAGTTTTTCTCGTTGGATTGAAATGTTTGCACACAGACACACACAGGTGCCTTTCTCTTCTCCTCATCAGTATTTATACCCTGACAGCACAAAGGCAGGGACAGGGTGATTGTCATCTGTCAGTCCACATTCCACTTGTGACTGCAATAGCAGCTGTCTCCCTTGAGACATTTAAAACACACAAACACTTACCACACACAGTAAGAGGACACAACTCAGCAAACACAGTAGAAGGGCAGGAAATACTGATATGCTGACTTCCAGTCTGAGACCACGTGTCAGCTGCCTGCCCCATGACAACGAAGACAGTTGCTAGCATTTCATCATATAAATGAAAGGATTTCTAATAAAAAGAAATATACTTGATTTTTTTTCCCACTATAACAATAATAATTTGTCCCTGGACTGCACTTTGTTTATAGTGCAGTGATTGTACACTCTACAAATGTGCTGATATATGGGTTAAAGCTTGGCAAACAGTGTCTAATCTTTTCTTTTTCTTTCAAGTGCTGTCTCCTCTGTTGTCCTGACAACACCCAACCAGATAAGACCACTTCCTGTACCTTAAGCTCTCTATCATAATAGCCATGTTTTTCCACCCAAACCACATATGCTAAATGTCCTCAGCCCCACTGTACCACAAAGGACCACCCAATTTGTAATTGATATGATGTCACTGGTATGGCAGTTTATATTCATTTTCCACATTGATGCAATATCAAGTGATGGCGTTAATTACCACATCATACCACATGTTTCGTTGTATACCTGACTAAGAACTTATTTTTCTACTCATCTTCTGTCACTACCTAGACCTATAACATTTCTCTGGCCTACTTAGCTCACTGCTTTGTGCCATGTAGCCATCTGCTACTATGATTGTGACATGGTTCTGCACGGAGAATGAGTTGATTCGTAGTATTTTTGTGGTTTATGGTTAAATGATGTTCCTATTATGGCCCCTGCAGTGCTCAACGGAACATTCAGAAGTTTAGAAATCCTTCTGTAACCAATGCCATCAGTATGTTTTGCAACAATAAGGTTGCGAAGGTCTTGATAGAGCTCGTTGCTTTTACGCATCATGAGATGGTTGTTGTGTGACACCTTGGTAATGGGAGACCTTTTTAGAGGCTAGCAGTTGGGACTGAACCAGCTGATATTAATTTCCACTGACAAGGGGCAGGATTGCTTTCTAATTACTGATAAATTCCAGCTGGTGTCTTGGCTTTCCATGCCTTTTTGCACCTCCCTTTTTTCATGTGTTCATTACTTTTTCCCTGTGTCATTTCATTTTTATTACACATAACTTAATTTCTGAACTTATTTGTTTTGTTTTCTTTGTATGTATGGCTTACTTGGCACCTTTAGAAATATATTTACTGAGGAAAAATGATGTGTTCAATACTTATTTTACCCACTGTATATTTTACCCACTGTATATTTTGATTTTTTCCACTGTAACTATCATAATCAAAATAACTGCCAACAAATCCCAGAGAGTACCTATAACTTGGATATAGTGTCATCTAGGGTTGGGCAGTTAATGGGATTTTTTTCAATGATAATGAAAACAAAATAACTGATAAAATGATTATTGAGCCACAATATTGCTCTTTTTCACAATGATGTTGCTGTTACCTCTGCCAAGGGCGAGGGCTATGTTTTTCCCAGCATTTGTTGATTTATTTGTCAACAGCTTAACTCAAAAAGTAATGAATGGATTTTGATTATTTTCTGGAGACGTAGGGTATGGCCCATAGAACAATTGATTAATAGTGGTGCTGATCCTTATCATAATTAAGATACAGGAATACTTCTAAAAGATTATTATTAATCATTGTGAGTGCTGGAAAGGCTGTTGACTGTATGTAAATCCACCAAAGCACATGGCTGCACTGCAGAACACATGAACACAAAGCCCTGGGTCAACAGCTGCCCATTCACTGTCAATGAAAACCAAGTGCTGTGACTCAGTAAATCCATGTTGCCACAATTGTGCAGCCCTAATGTCATCACCTGAGCAGTGCCAAGCTACAGTAAATAACAGAACATGTGACAAATGGTAACACTTGCCGCAGTTGAAACAAGACTATGCACAGTCAAGTTCATACTTATGTTTCAGCATGAACTAATCATTAAACCAAAATTACAAAAATGTGCTGGTGCGTTACATGACTTTAGAAACCAACATGCTCATGCTCTTTGATCATTAATTATCCTCTCCAGTTTCTACACACAGTGATTTCTCATCTGCTGAGTATCTATTATCACCCTCAGTCAGGGCACAAAAAACACCACAAAATCAACCTGTGTAGAAAACCCTGCTTACTGCATTATGGTAAATGGTCTTATACTTGTATAGCGCCTTTCTACGCTTTTACAGCACACTCAAAGCGCTTTCACATTATTCGGCTATTCACCCATTCGCACTCCCAAGCGCTCACGCATTCACACACCGGTGACATCACCGGGAGCAACTGGGGATTCAGGGTCTTGCTCAAGGACACTTCGACATGTTGACTGGACAAGTCGAACCGCTAATCCTCCGGAACCGCTAATCCTCCGGAACCGCTAATCCTCCCCATTACCCTGCTTATTGCATTATGGTTATCACCCATTCCTCACCCAGCATGGTGGCCTGCTTGAGGAATTTGTAGCTTGTCTCAAAGGTCATCTGCTGCAGGGGGGATGAGTTGGACCTGATGGCGTGCCGGTTTAATGGCTTATATACACCTTCAAAACACATGTAGTCTGCTACCAGTGACAAATGTCTGGGGTCAACCTCAATACCTAGAGAGAAAGAGACAGAGACAGACAAAGACTGAGCATGGGTGGTTCTGAAAGCTTTGTGGTCTGTGTTTTTATTGTTTGTGTGTGCATGTACCGTAGACAGCAAAGACATCCTTTATCTCCTTCTCTATGACCTTCAGAGCTACTTCAATGCCATAGGTGTTGGCCATGGCATGGATCTCATTGGAGTAGAGCCTGTTGATGTCCAAGATCTAAAGAAGAAGAAGAAGAAAAAAAAAAAAAAGTCACAATGCTGGGAATATCATCAGACAACAGCAACATATGTGCAATCTTATAATATACAGTAACATTTCTTGAGTTATTAACCCTATCCTTAAACTCCTTGATTAAGAAATCACTGTATTTTTTTCACTATTTATACGGCATGGTAAAGCAAATTTATAGTCTGTTTTGACTTAAAGCCAGTCTACAGATTTGCATGAGTCACTGTCAGTGAACAACATTTCTGAATAATTAGCAATACAGTATCAAATCTAATCAAATATTATCACAGACGATGAATCAAACATTGCAGTGTTCCAACACCATACCAAGTCTCCATAAAACATCATATTATGCCATTTCAGTTTTGACTTTTTTTTCCAGATAACACAATAACCACTAAGATTTAGAATATGTGGGGAGTGGCGAATTTGTTCTAACGTTTTCAGACTTGTGCGTGCTCGTTCTCTGACTCAGCTAGCTCTATCAGCAGGCAGTTACATCTCATTCAGAGTACAGCAGCTGTCAGTGAGGACACCGGTGTTTGCGTTTCTACTTTTGGAGACTAATGAGCGGCACGCCCTGTAGCTTCCTTAACCGTCACCTCACATAACCTCCTGAGCTGATGTGGACCATCCTACTTTGCATCACTGCATTTTTCCCCTAAACCAACCAGTGAATGTCTGTCATGTCTACCATTTTTTTCGAGAGCTTGTTCAAGGGGGATTTGTTGAGTTTTCTCTATAATACTGTAAAGTCTGGACCTTACTATGCCCTTGTTGTGAATTGGTGCTATAGCCAATAAAAAACTGAATTGAACTGAGTAGCTTTCAAATTAAGAAAGATGGCAGCATCAGTCCACTGCCAGCAGCAGGTTTTCATGGTCAATCTATCATATATGAAGGTCAAACTATCATGGGAAGATTACTTTTATGGCACCATAATGAAACTGAGTACTTCCTCCACTGCTGGTGTTTGGTATCTGGTGTGTGTGGTGTAAAGGGGAGGGGGAAGAACAAAGATTTTGTGTTATTTATTTATCTACTTTATATTTCATTTGTATTTTGTGGCATTCGTGTGGACAGCAAAGTAAGAATTTCATTGTACAGGCAAACACGTTTCCTAACTGTGCATATGACAAATAAACACTTTGAACTTGAAGCAGAGCGCTCATTTGTGTTCTTGTTAGCGTTACATCTGCAGGAGTGGAGAATAGTGTCTGTGCTGCAACGTCATGTCTTTTCTTTGACCCACTAGTTTGATTGAAGTTCTGCAGTGTGTGTTTGCTGCTCCACTACGCTGTCAGTCAGTTAGGGTTAGTTGTTTTTCAAAGCTTATCAAGAAATTAATATGTGCTCAAATGATTTCCTTTTCTGAGATTAGCCAATGTTACAACACAACTCTCGATATGCACGCTGTCCGTATGCTTGCAGTTGAGTTCTACCTTGTTCTACCTTTTTCGCTCTGTCAAGTTTACCACAAAAATTTGTGAATCGATTTAGAATCGTAAAAAACTAATTGCAATTCTTATGTGAATCAATTTTTGTCTCCCTCCCCTATCAATTTATGGCCAAAAACCTAAAAATGCTAAATCAAAAATGGAGAAATCCAAGGCACTCTTCTGACAATTAAACAGCCTTTATTCAGGTGGCTCTCATACTGATGAATAAAACCAATGCAAGTTCAAAGAGTGGGTTGCAGCCTAACTGTAGTTTCAAAACAGCTGCCTTCTGACACCTTAAAGAAGGCAGAGCATGCATGGGCTTGAATTTGAAGCCAGAGAAAGAAGCAAATAACAAACTGCTATTTTTAAATGAGTCAATGCTACTAAGATGATAGGATACACAGTATATTCACTAGACATATCAGTAGGATAGATGCCCTAATGCACTTGTCCTTTACAGCCTATTTTAAGAGTAAGGATTGGCTCCACTTCTAAGTCAGACTCGTGTCCTATCATTGGATCTGAAGCAAAGTTTAGTCAACACAGACGATACCGTGTGAAACCACTACCTACGTACATCACTGTGCTTGAACATTTCGTGCATGTTGATGCCCTCCGTATTGAGAATCGTCTCTTTTTCCCCCATCTTTGTTGTAGTTTCACTTAACAGGCAGCGAGTCAGGCCCTTGGTTTCCATAATTACAGCATTCTGGGCCAGTGCTGACAGGACTGAGGTCAGGTCGAAGTGCACCTTGGTCAATGGCAAGACCAGGTCAACCTACAGACAAGGAGACAATAGGTGGATGGAGGGATTAGTAAAGAAATTACAATGAGGTCTAACTTAATTAGAAAATAAAGTGCCTGTTTGGATCGTGCTGTTCAGCAAAATTCACACAACAGCATCATTTTCTGCAGCCTCACAAAGTAGCTGTAATGCAATAACACCAGTCACAACAATACACAATAACAGTAAAGTAACAGTTACCAGCCTCACCTACTTATTATCTTGGTCTCTTGTTACAGAATTTACATAACCACATCCTGGTACTGAATTAACAGCAGTATGAAGTGATGAACAAAACACACCACCCATCACAAAACTACACTGCAGGTTCACGCACCATGGTGTTGACTTAATAAGAGTATGGAGTGATGAACAAAGTAACATTTCAGTCTATTCTTTTTTAAAAGGAACTGTAAAGTTGATATTTGCTACTGAAGATATGGGAGAAAAGGAATGTGACTGAGTGAATTCATGAACATATTGAATGCAACCTGCCTGCTACTGAAAAAGACACTCAAAGATACTGTATAGCCACGAGAAAAAGTAAGAGAACTCTGAGATAAAGTGTAATTGTGTTTAAAGTGAAGCTTAGTGCAAAAGTTCATTAGCCTGTGAGGTTTTATATTTAGCTCCCTTCCCATGATCCCCTGATTAAAATGAATGGCTTTACAATTTGGAGTTTATTGAATAGTTTCTGAATGACTGTGGGGTTTATTCAACAGTGGAATGAGATGCTGTTTTTGAGGCTGTGGCTAAACAGGCAATACTGCGATTTAGCAGGATAAATCACACTTGGCTTGACGGATGTCATATACAGTCTATTACATCCACTAGGGTCACATGCATGAACTCACCTCACACCAGAGCTCGTGCTTGTGATCATAGGAGTATCTCTCTATTGCCTGGTTGGAGTCCAGAACAGAGTTCACTCTTATCTGTTTCAAGGTGTCTTCTTTTCCTTTTCCTCCTCCTTTTTCTCTTTTTGCCTTCCTTTCCACCCTCACTCCTGCAGACTCTGCCTGAGCCTTGTCCAGTGCCTGGTCCTCTGCACTCTCCTCCTCCTCTTCCTCCCCCTGATCTTCTTTATCTTCGGCACTCCCACGTTCATCTTCCTCCTCACTCTCATAGTCCACCTGCAGAGGAAACAGTGCTGAGCATTAATTGCATTATACGACACATCACCATGTGACATATGGTGCTGGATACGTCATATGCCTTAGGACCATGGTTTGATAACACAGTGAGAACTCCAGGGCAAGACTAAAAGTGGTAATCATGGACTGTTGTCTCAGGCTTGGATATAGCCAAGCAGTGAGCACAGTGGCAGATGCACGTTACCCTTTTCAGCCAGTTGTTCTTTTATTTATTATTAATGCAGATCACAATACCCGAGAGCTTAAAAAAAACAAAACAAAACACAATTTTTCTTGCTTATGTTCTTACATTCCCCTTTCACAGTGTTTTACATTTGTCATTCTGAACACTGTATCAGTACCTCTTTATATTCTTAGAAGCGTCTTTGCACAGGAAGTGTCAGTTTGAATACACAGAACTGACTTTTTGTAACTTACTAAACACACATTTGTGGCCTTCATGAGACACACAATTCAGTTTTTATACATTTGTAACCTTGTCTGTCTCAGGATAAAATGTAACAACTTTGATGAGCCCTTAACTTTCCACTAGCACCATCATCAGGTTAGATTTTAATTTGTCCAATATTTCGGGACAAGTAAAACTAAGGACACTTCCAACAGCCTCAGCTATATTTAGTGGTAATCCGCAAAGGTTTGCATAATAACATCCTAAACTAAGATGGCAACAACATTATACTGGCTAAAGATTTGAATGTTAATATTGCCCTTGCTACTATTTAGCATTGAGGTAAAAGCTAAACTTTAATGAAGCTATGCATGCAGGAATTAGATGCCACTAAAATTACTAAGACTGCAGAAATATCCAGTCCAGTATACTGTGACACCATGTCTTCATTTTGGCCCAAAGGGAGTGATTTCTGGTCTAAACTAGTCATCTGAAATGCTTTGGCAACCACAGATCAGAATTTTCAGACAACTCCAAGCACAGGAGATGAACATTCCATTTTAGGTGTGGTGCTTTAACAACATGCCACAACATGAAATAGTTTTAGTATTCAATAGTAAGCATTTCTTCTATGTTCGTACCTCCTCTTCCTGCTTGCCTTTTCTCTTGGCGTCTGAAGCGTCGGCATCTCCTTCATTCCCTTGGTCATCAACAATCTCTCTCTCCTCCTCTCCCTCCAAATCATCTACCTGATGAGTCACAACATGACACAGACTGGTTTGGTTTTCAAGGAGGAAAAGAAAAGTTCAGACAAAAAAAAATTCAAAAATGAATGACAACATTAGGCCTAAAAATACTCAAGGGAATACAGAACTGGAGACAAGCCAATAAAAAAAACATAAATAAAAACGGACCCCTGCTGTGTCACCCGTTCCATCACCATCATGGTCTTTATCTCGGGGAGTGGCCTTCCTCGTCTCTACAACGATGGAGGCCAGTTTGGCGCTGCGCTTCTTAATGGCTTCAAGGAGGAGACGGAAAAACCTGGGAGGACAAATAAGGAAACAAAATGTGAAGGAGAGTAGGTTTGCAGCGGTATCCCGGTTTCATGGTATAGCGAGGTCTAAAAACTGATGCTTATCATACCATGCGCATTTGCTTATTACCAGTAATTAATTAAAAAAATGCAAAATGCATTGACTACTATCATCTGCAAAACAACATGGATAACAAGACTATGACAATATGTGATGGTGGATAAGTAAAAACCAAACAAAAAAACCCAAAACAAACAAACATCTTTGAGAACACAATCCCACCATGCAGGGTCAAAGTATGTGTCCCATTTATTTAATCCCAAACAATAAATGGTATGAGCATAGCTGTTCTAAAAATTGTTATTAAACATGATTTATGCTATTTAATGTATTTTAAACTTTCACAACAGAGTCATATAAGAAACTGATGTGTGTAAGCCTAAAGATCATTTCCTGTTTTTCTTATGAAATTCTGTGTGCTGTAATAAACTTAACCACAGAATGTTCTAGATGAAGCGACACAACCGTCAACTGCAGGATAAACATGTGTTCCGGTACGATCAGCGTCTAAGTCGTGTTATCAGGGTGTGCCTTTTCAACTATAAATTTTGCTGTTTGAATCTATTTTACTCAGACAACTCTATATGCTCATGCTGACTTTAAGTAAACTACTTAAAATGATTCCAGTGACTGTTGCTTTATTAAAATTCTTTTGACAGTAGTCTATATAAACATTGGTCATAAAATGCAAAATCATATTCCAATGTCCTCGTTCACCGACCTCTGACTTGCACAAGGGCTCACAATGATCCTGATTTGACCCCAGAAACACGCACACACACACACTGATGTGTGTGTGTGTGAGAGAGAGAAGGTACAGACTGCTGTGAAAGATCAGTCTGGTGTCAGGCACCTACAGTAAATTAGCAACTGTTCTGATAGATGTTTAGATCATTGTAAGGGCATTTCTCACTACCGTCAGAAGTTTTACAAACCAGTCAATCAATTGATGGAGGAAATAATAAGCAGATTAATCCCTAATGAAAATAATCAATAGTTGCGATTGAATAGAAAATAGTTCAAAACAGCTCCACCTCAACCAACTACAACAGTCAAGTCCTGCTTTTACATCAATGCATGAGTGATAGGCTGTTAATGTGATGATAGAATGAATAAGTGTGTGTGTGTGTGTGTGTGTGTGTGTGTGTGTGTGTGTGTATAAAATAGTACAACAGTACAGGATATATAGTGTAACAATATTCTGCACTGAGTGGCATTAATATTTTAAGTACATTTTCATTGCAGTGTAATACCGTAATATTTTCTGAGACGGATGTCGTACCACAAAAATCTCACATTGTTGCAACTCTAGAGAGGGAATGAGAGGGCGTACAGACAGCTATTGTAAACACACACACACCTTGTTTCCATGTAGTGGAGGATTTGGTGAGGCGACAGCAGCTTGTCATCACAGTAGCGCTGTGCAGGAAGAAAGTGGAAGGTGACTTTGAAAGCGCGCTGCTTTTCGTGACTTGCAATCCGCAGAGTCTCTACCACATTCACCTTGTGCAGCACCTGCAATAACACATAAATGAATGCGCCAAAGAATGGATGAGTGCGGAAACTCAGTATTCAAGTTAAAATGTTTAACCCTGATTTGGCCCCAAAGAGTGGATACCAGGCCATGTCATTGTAAATCTTCAGGGCCACATAATAAGCAACACCATTGTTTTCCTAAACAAAACTAAAATGCACACATGATTTTGTTTACTATTCTCCAACATTAGCTGATCATACCCAGAGCTGTTAAGAGAGAAGAGTTGCGACAATGAGGGGACAAAAATGTCAGCAGGTCATGTGACTCAGGTAGCTTCAAATAGTTCCAAACAGTTAAGAATGTTAAAGTGGCCCAAGGTTGTAAAACGTGTTTTGACACATCAACAAGTTGCAGGAAACAGACTTGTTGCTGGTGACATTCTGGATGGTCATTTTCATCTTTGGTCTGGAGCACACAGCGTCCATTCCTTCCTTCTCAAAAAAAAAAAAAAAAAAAATGCTGTAGTGGTTAGAAATAAACCAGATTCCAGAAGTGATATGTAATAGAACAGTATGTAGTTCATATAGATATTATTTGTAATAGTTATGTAAGGGTGAGCTCAGTGTGTGCAGAAGCTTGATCTGTCTCTGGCGCAGGCAAGAATATGTGTGTCCCCCTTGATTAAATTATGGGTCAACATCCTGAGTGACTTC